AACAGCTTCCCATGCCGGGAATCGAACCCGGGCCTCCTGGGTGAAAGCCAGGTATCCTAGCCACTAGACCACATGGGATTGAAATGAATTCACCTCATAATTAATCATATACCACTTAAATATTTCCAGCAGAATAGGGAATATTACAAGTATTATTACACAATATTAATGTTATGCAAAATTATCATGGCAACTTCGATGGTCATAATTGGCATTACAGCATGAATTTCACAGACACACGGTAACGTTATGGGGCATTACATTATTATTGCCGCCACACGGTAACGGTAACGGTAATGCCGCTACCGTGTGATGGCTCACTACAAGATGGCCACTAATTACATTGTGGTGTTCACTACAAATGTTTGATTGTTAAATTTGTCTTATTTTTAGAAAACATACACCGAACAGAATAAATAAATAGCAGAATAAAAATACTCCAAATTATCATAACATAAGATAACAAATTGAAATAGTAGCAGAAATAAACTCGCTTATATCGTGATAACACATGCAACAATTTGCGCGCCGGAGCCTGGATCGAAGGGCGGAGAATGCCTGGCGGAATCTTCCGTGGGTATCCTCCGTGAATATCCTCCGTGAATATCCTCCGTGAATATCCTTCCTGAATATCCTTCGTGAATATTTTTCTTGAATATCTCCGTGAATATCATCCATGGGAATATCCTCCGTGGGTATCCTCCGTGGGTATCCTCCGTGAACATCCTCCGTGGGTATCCCCCGTGAATATCCTCCGTGGGTATCCTCCGTGAACATCCTCCGTGGGTATCCTCCGTGAATATCCTTCTTGGAAATTATCTCTCAATGATGCAGTCTCGCAAGCTGGGATGGCATTGTTATACGGATCATCTCTGTTACGTTATCATATTGTCTGATTTTTTTGTCGGCATTTCTTGTTGTATGTTATCGTTCATATATTAATCTTCATCTGTAAATCGTAATTTTATTGTGTTATTTATTCATTATTACAATGAACTTTTTATTTTATTGGTTGATTTCAGGCTAGCTGATAATAATTTTTATATTTTTTCTCAATTGAATTTTTAAATGCTGCCCCCATCGTGCGCCAATATCCTGGACACAATTATCAGTTTTTGGTTGGCCACCGATAAGACGGCTGTGATTTTGCGACGTGGCTACTGGATGGACAGGCCTGCTAGGCTACACTACAAAATTAAAGTGTACAAATTGTCTAAACAGTGACACACTTTCTTACCACCGTCCGAGCAATTAAAGAGCGGACGTAGATGCACTGATATACCCTTTTGCAGGCTATAAACTTGGCCCGTATGACAAACACAATTGCCAAAAATGTATCGTTATTTTGCCAAAGTCCTACACATTTCACTGAGTGTATAGTAGAAAGTACCGGGGTTTCCGCCTAGAGAAGGAAACAGTCTTATCTTGCCTTTTAGCGACTTATCTTTTAGCGATAAGCTTCATGTTGGTAGAGTTAGTATATCCTGCATGCCAGGGCATTCTGTACGTATGGAATTTATTTAGGCTGAGTGTATAGAGTGAGACGAGTTTTTACTGTACGTGTGTCTGAAATTTTGTTATTAATAGCGAATCGCAGAATTGGTCGTTGTGGACAGATTTTATTGAAGGCCAGATAACTTGTCTTATTGACAATTTGCTTACAAGTTTTTTTTATAATCTATCGAACAAATTTTTGAGTTAGATTCAGAGCGCACATTTTCCGTGATGGATTCCACACATTTTACGTGAAAATTATTTCGTATGTCACTTATTTTGTCTTTTTCATGCCGTGAGTTTTGTGCAAAATTTTCTTACATTGAGTTTTTGTATACTGATCGAGTGTTTTGTTTACGGCTCATTATGAGCACGGCCTATATCTGTATACCGTATTCCTGGTAATTATCAGATAACATTACAATCCACGAACCAAGTAGGAATGAGAAATAGGCAATAAAACTATTATAGGTTGGCAATTATTTACTTATTTATTTAAAATGTTGAGAAAAAAAGAAGAAGTTGGTGAACTGCCTACATATAACTTCAATAGCTACAGTTCCATTTGTTACTGTTTATTTCTTACATTTAATATGTTACTGTTAATATATCATTGCAAATATGTTATCGTTAATATGTTACTGTTCATATGTTGCAGTGTAATCGTTATTTCCACGCTATTTTTTTCGCAGTTGAATCTATAGAAGCGAGAACATTGGAAGTTATAGCGAGGATAAGCTCAAGTTTTATGGCTATCATGCATAAACTCAAACAACTTTTATCAATTATCTAGTGTTTACTTGTAAAGTAGTTGTGTTTTAAGCCTTGAATTTAATTGTCGCTGGTAAATTGCGTATCCTTGATATTTTTCGTGTATTAACTGAACATGCATATTGATTTTTGTGAGAAAATATTGAGAAAATGCCTGTAAAAGGAATGGATCCCAAATTAAAATTCAGTTGTAAAAGGATTTGCTTGATTTTAAATTAAAAGATAGAAATTTAAGACAAAAACTGGGTAAATTTCTTGCAAATAACCAGCAATATTTAGCAGCTAATTTTTAAAGAACCCGAACCTGTAATTCCCATTAAACTCCATCATTGTTTTAATGTAATGAAAGTGAATGCTCCCATAACTATTTTCATTACAACTGCGAACTTGCATGTGTTCTAAGTTCACTCTCAGATTAAAAATCAAACTAGATTTTAGGCAATACCTATAATACTTAAAAAGTATTATGGCATTTAAAACATTACAGTATATTACGGTCCTCGATCGCTGAGGAAACGATTCCTTCTCGAATCGTTTCCGATCAGAGTCATGCATGTGATCAAGTGACGCAACTTATTTTTTTTTGTACGTTTTGTGCTATTGACGTTTTTTCCGCACATTTTACGTGAGAAGTTTCACTTGTGAGTATTAACTGTATTCAAGCTTCAAATCTCAATGAAATTAATTCATGTATTCGAATGGATTATAGATATCAAATTATTGCGATGCTAGTGTTGGTTGTAACGTTGGAGTGTGCAAAGCCTGCGGGAATGTGACTCATCCTTTTCCCAAACAAGAATGAGAAGATGAATGAATGTGCAGTAAGAAGACTGAATATTCAGTCAAAAAAGAGAATTCACAGTCAGAAGAAAGAATTGAAACACAGTTCGGAGAGTCAAAAGAGAAAAAAGAGACACAGTCAGGAGGGTGAATGCACAGTTAGAGAACTGAATGCATAGCCTGAAGACTGAATGCATAATCAAAAGACTGAATGCCGAATAAAAAATACAGTGCATAGTCAAAAGACTGAATGTACAGTCAAATGACTGAATGCATAACCAAAAGACTGAATGCATAATGAAAAGACTGAATGCACAGTCAAAAGACTGAATGCATAGTCAAAAGACTGAACACATAAGCAAGAGACTGAATGCATAATAAAAAAATTGAGTGCATAGTCAAATAACTGGATGCATAACCAAAAGACTGAATGAATAATCAAACGCCTGAATGCACAGTCAAAAGACTGAATGCATAATCATAAGATTGAATGCATAATCAAAAGACTGAATGTACAGTCAAAAGACAGAATGCATAGCCAAAAGACTGAATGCATAATCAAAAGACTGAATGTACAGTCAAAAGACTGAATGTACAGTCAAAAGATTGAATGTACAGTCAAAAGACTGAATGTACAGTTAAAAGAATGAATGTACAGTCAAAAGACTGAATGTACGGCCAAAAGACTGAATGTACAGTCAAAAGACTGAATGCATAATCAAAAGACTGAATGCACAGTCAAAAGATTGAATGCATAATTAAAAGACTGAATGCACAGCCAAAAGACCGAATTCATAATCAAATGGCTGAATGTACAGTCAAAAGATTGAATGCATAGCCAAAAGACTGAATGCATAATCAAAAGACTGAATGTACTGTCAAAAGATTGAATGTACGGTCAAAAGTCTGAATGTACAGTCAAATGATTGAATTCAAAATCGAATGGCTAAATGCTAAGTCGTAAAACCTAAAAACTTTTGAAAAACTATACAAATTGGCATAAATTTGAAGTATTCATAATTCTTTATTATAGGTCTGTAAATTTTGCAATCAATTTCACGCAAAATGATAACATATATGGACTCTTTACCAATATCATTAACATATTCGAATTGATGAAGTGATTTCTAGATGCATTCACCTATCTAGAAAGAAAGAGAAGCGTCGTGTAGTGCGGAAAGCAGTCGTTGCAAAATTGTTTTGCCCAGCAAAATTTTAATTTTTTTGCCGCGTGCTTTCGTCGCTATACCGCTCGAACGTTTGCTTCGTTGCAGGTGATTCAGTGCAGAATGGAGAGTGTAAATCAATTGAAAAATCAACCACACAATGATGAGAATAATTTCAAGCGATAAAATGTTGCTCGCTTCAAGCATTGAGGTTACCTTTCTAGTTGTATTTTTGCTTGAAAATTTTTTATAGAGCTATCCGATCTTTATTGAAGGCACGGTCGTTAAAACGACTTTCAAGCTACATGCAGTCACTGCGATCTTGTACGTTTACGTCTAGTGATGCGGAGAGGGGCTTTCAGTATTTAGTATTTTTCAGTATTCAGTATTTTTTCAGTAGAGAGGGGCTTTCAGTATAACGGTAGTTCATACACAACAGATATATACAGGGTGCGTCACAGAAACTTACTTATTTGAAAAAATTCCTGTGCGGTTAGTTGGTCGGGTAGAGGGGCGAGAGGGGGTGCATCTGAAGGGGAAAGTTCTTAAGTTTGTTTCTCAAAGTTTCTCAAATAAATTTGCTGTAGTGCAAGAATTAACTGAACGCGATTTTGTTGCCCGTCAAAATGCATGTAAAATGCTGGTTGACAACCTGCCTGACGACGCGGTCATAACCATGTTAAAAGTATAGGCTAACCGGTAATGACCTTTTGCAGGAATTTTCGAGTGGCGGCTCGCTGTCTGGCGAGGGCACAGCAGTCGTCTTAGACTCTTAGTTTGCGTGTGGCAATCGCGGTGAGAGGTGATGTGCGGTCATCGCTCGTGTGACGTGTGTGGCGTGTTGCTTGGCATACCTACCTGAAGTTTATTTGTTTAGCATCCTCGAAATAGATATTGATTGAATAATATTACAACAGTCGATAAAGATTAGTGAATGAGTTTTTACAGATGAAAGTTGAAGAAAAGTGAAGAATTTGCAAACACTTGTTGGTCTTGATTAGTTAGGTAGTTTGTGAATCGCTAGGTAAGGTAGGCTTTCTGAGACCCAAACAAGTTTCGTGCTTTCTGTTGTGGACGTAGACCTGTCAAAGTGACTGAGCAGTTTCCTGAAACTTATATATTAACGTTTTCTCAGTCAGTCAGTGGTTGGACCGGTGGTGGTTTTATTTATCGTTGAAATTTACATTTGTGTTCTTTGGGGCGTTAGGGCACTGCGGCGCAATGCTGAGAAGTGAACGTCGTTGAAACTTGGTTGCAAAATTTCAGTGAATATTTTCAATAAAGAAAGTGAACCTCTTACTAAAGTGTTGATCCAGCCGTCAACGAGGACTAAGGCCGCGCCTAAAAGGTTAGTTTTCAACTATTGGTTTATAATCAATTACAAGGACGGTTAGAATATATCTGACTAACCTTTTCTGTTTCTTAACGTTGTCTGATGGCACGTTTGAAAATTTCTTATTTTTATAGTTTGATGGTCGTAAGTCATGCAATATATACATTAAGTATCTAACCTCTTTCTCTTGATGAAACGTTTAACATTTTTGACAGTTATATAATGATGCCTATGAAATTAAATTTACTCATTTATCATTGTGCATGTTCCCTTAGTGTTAGTCAATGTGATGTTAGATTGCAGAATTGCTCGGAGCAACAAATATCCGAAAAAAATTTTCCCTTACGAATCAGCGTGGTTCTTAATAAATTCATGTATGCTATGAAATATGAGTAGAATATGTACTATATTAGTCTATATATATATGTATATATATGTATACTATATATATGTATATATGTATGAACTGGTCGATTTCATTGAGGAGGCATTTTATGGTTAGCTTACACTGGCTGCATTTATAATAAAGTTATAGATGATTCTAACCCATACGTACCTTTAATAAACTAAGACGATTAGATCGTACTACAACAGGTTTATGAAATCAAGTTTTATTTTCATGGACCCGAGGGTGGAATTATTTGGAGTAACATATGGGCAAGTACGCATACATACTCGTATATATATTGAATCTAAAATTCCGAAAATAGACTTTCTTCTTTCTTTATTTAATTCGAGTGATATTTTTGGAACTGAACAGGTAAGCGTGCTAAATTGATCGTAATATCTGAAGCTACATTCCATCTTGCATTCATGGCTCCGCTTGGGGTTCGCACCAGAAACGTATTCATGTTAGTGCTTCGTAAGATATTTTGTCTAATTACTAAATTCACACGCGGTCTGTTGTAGTTAGTCAGCTAGTCAGGCGGTCAGGAGTGGCCGCCATTAGTTTACATGCTATAAATTTTCACGCGTAGTAAGTAATGACTAGCAGTACTTACGAATTTGAGTTGCTATAGTGTGTCGTTAGAAGATGTAGGAAGGCTGAATATGCGAAAGCTTATCGTCTCTAGCTTTAAAATTTCTCATACCATCCATCACAATTTCTAGATTATGTCGACGTTCACTAATCGGTTATTAGCGAATTACACCTCTAATACTAAACTAGTAATATTGATTATTTTGAGAGTCGATACAAGTGGAAGTTAGGAAAGTCTTCTGGCCACAAGTTCCTGTTGCATGCTTAACCTTTTGTCTACGGATTCATTAACCGTCGCCAATGCTATTCATATGTAACACCTGATGCAATTTGAGTTATACATTATCACAGACCCCGTGATAGCCGACATCAAATGAGACGACGAAATGCTTTAAGTACCAACTACCGGGATAAAATTATAAGATTTTCATGTAGATAAATGAAATATACGATCATGAACTAGCCGTACGAACGGTACGATTCTTGATGTATATAATTCGCACATGGATTCAATTAATTTTGACTGTTTACAAGTTATATCTCGGTTTTTAGTTACGTAGGCGTTTTGTTAGATGTTAGGCGGACTCAAATGGAGGATGATTTCATCCAATTTTCGAGGCTAGGAGAAGGATTATAAAATCGAAAGCGATAGTCTAACGAGGTATACGTATGAGTGTTGGTAATAGATATAATAACCTATAGTGCTGATAAGAGTTCGCGGTGTATGTTGGCGTGTGTTGACGTGTGTTGGCGTGTGTTGGCGTACGTTGGCGTGTGTTGACGTGTGTTGACATGTGTTGGCATGTATTGACGTATGTTGGCGTGTGCTAGCGCATGTTGGCGTGTGCTAGCGCATGTTGGCGTGTGTTTTCATGTGTTGGCGTGTGCTAGCGCATGTTGGCGTGTGCTAGCGCATTTTGGCGTGTGCTAGCGCATTTTGGCGTGTGCTAGCGCATTTTGGCGTGTGCTAGCGCACGTTGGCGTGTGCTAGCGCATGTTGGCGTGTGCTAGCGCTGGAGTATGTTCAGTAGTATTCACCAAGTTGGTTATTGTCTAACCACGTGCGTGAGATTCAACACTCACTCTAGTTCACGCACCAGATGCAATATTAACAATCGCAGCTGGAGGTTCGCCGGCCGAGTGTTGGTCGTTGACTGGCCATACTTAATTACCTTCATAAAATTTAAAATGAAGGGAACGATGTCGAGTCATGCAGCCTACCGGTCATCGGTGTACTTGACTGAGATACTTTTGTTGGCCTTGTATCGGAGAGTACTTTGGCTTTAATAATTTCGGATGCAGTGTCGAAGTTACATGACTATAATGAGTGTATAGAGGCTGATTTGTGGATGCATGGTAAATGATGGTATATATTTGAATGTAATTTTTGGCTGCGTCTTCTAAGGTATTTAACTGTCTAGTGTTTCGTTTACGATGATGCTAACGTTCCGTATTCTATTTTTTAGGTTCTGTAGTTCTTGAATAAATAATTTCGGCAATCCTGTGAAGCCATCGTACTCATGTTAGGCCCAATTTGAGCCAATCGGAGGATTGTTTTTGGCTAAAAATCTGGTTATTAGTGCTGACCGCAGCATTATTATTCTTAAACGTGCGGTTTTTGAGCACAAAATGTAGGGCTATGAACTGCTTGTTCGCGGGGTTGTGGGGCACCGTTCGCGGGGTTGTGGGGCACCGTTCGCGGGGTTGTGGGGCACTGTTCGCGGGGTTGTGGGGCACCGTTCGCGGGGTTGTGGGGCACCGTTCGCGGGGTTGTGCACCGTTTGCGTTATTAAGATAGATACGCCGCGCGATCTGTAGATTGTACCGCTGATTCGCTTGACGCGATAGAAACATGGTTCGCTACTTATTTAAAGTTTCATATAGCTATTGCACACTTATATATGGCCAAATGCTAAGAATGGAGGTACAGCTTGAGCTCCATTTCCATAAAACAAGGGGGCGCCCGGGTTTGAACCGGGGACCTCTCGATCTGCAGTCGAATGCTCTACCACTGAGCTACACCCCCGCTTATTTTGATGATGACTGTGAAGAGAACAGGAGCTACTTTATTAAATATTACTCCACATTAAAAATAAGAAGTGAGTTATTTGAATTGAGTGTATGTCTGTTATCGATTGATACTTCGACATTTAAATTCATGGGCTCAAAAGTCTCACTAATTAAACTTGAATCTTGTTTGCGTTGTAGAAGGTGTTGCTGACCATGAATTTGTTGTTGTAGTGCTGTGGTGTCCGAGTGGTTAAGGAGATGGACTAGAAATCCATTGGGCTCTGCCCGCACAGGTTCGAATCCTGTCTACAGCGTGTCTTTTTCTTAGGAGAGAGAAGTAATTGTATGCGGATACGTATAGATTATCCGTATACGGCTATTGCAATATATTTTTCATGTGGTGAATCGTGTGCATTTGAAGCAAAATCTATTCTTGTGACTACTGGCAGTTGTTTATTGCATTTGTGTTTTTTTTATTTTTCCAAAAGTATCAAATGTTAAAGGATAAATTTTTTAGAAAAATAAAAAAATGTATTCTGTCGATATCGTTGAATGCACAATGAAAATTCCAACATCCAGGCGCTGAATCTTAATACATCGGGTACATGTTACATGGAAACAAATGTAATTTGATGTGATAGCTCCTAGGCTCTCCTATTCAAAACAATTCATTTGAAATAATTTCAGATAATGCATTTAACATCAGTCAATAGAGTGTATAAATTCTATTCGTGTAACAGCCAGTCAATCATATTTGACTGGATATAATGGAGTATGCATTGCAATCTTATAAACTATGTTCATCGCAGAGAACATAGTATAGCTCAATGCAATTCATGTATCATGCAAAAATCAAATTTACAGAACTCGTGTGGCATTAGGTCTATCAAGATCAAAATTATTTAATGCATGTACATCAATAATATACGCGGCAAATAGGGTTCACTTGATTCAATATTGTTAAATACAATGTAATGCGTGTAATTATTATTTAAGGCGTTTAGTTACATCTGGTAATTCACAGAAAATACATCTTAATTCCTGTTGTATGGAATTTGGTTATTGTAACTCTTTATGTGAGAATTTTTTCTAGAAATTGAATTATTGCATGTATCATAAATAAAGCATAATTTGATTATTATTGTTATTGATACATAGGTAATCTTTATGGTAGCATAGTTTAATTATTGTTACTTTTGAATAATAATGTTTGTAATTAATAATGTTTGTGGTTGCAGAGTGGTGGCCGTGGTGGACATATTGCGGTGGTATGGTGCAGCGCTGGTGACCGTGCTCACCATGACTTATATGGCCTCAAGACTCGTCATGGCCATGGCCGCCTGGTTGTCCATCGTATCGTCCATCATCACACACAACATCATGACCGCCGCCGAGCCGCGCAACAACAACCATCATCGTTCGTCCGCCGAGTCCACCAACGTTTTTGACCTCCACACTCTCTCCCCGGGTCGTTTTGACCCAGTTGATGGCTTTGACCCGCATTTTTCCCATCCTCCAACCAACTCTTATGATCGCTCGTCAAACGTTTATGACAGTGGACGTCAAACAAACGTCTACGATAGTGCCCGACAAACGAATGCGTTTGGTATTGCCCGAAAGACAAACGTTTACGGCAGTGCTCGACAAACAAACGTTCACGGCAGTGCTCGACAAACAAACGTTCACGGCAGTGCTCGACAAACAAACGTTTTCGAAAGCGGGCGAGGATCTAATTCGTACAACAACGGCCGACAAAGCGGCACACACGATAGCGGAACTCCGACGAATGTGTACGACAACGGCCGACAAAGCGGCACGTACGATAGCGGAACTCCGACGAATGTGTATGACAACGGCCGACAAGCCGGCACGTACGATAGCGGAACTCCGTCGAACGTGTACGACAACGGTCGACAAAGCGGCACGTACGATAGCGGAACTCCGACGAACGTGTACGACAACGGCCGACAAACCGGCACGTACGATAGCGGAACTCCGTCGAACGTGTACGACAACGGCCGACAAACCGGCACGTACGATAGCGGAACTCCGACTAACGTGTACGACAACGGCCCGGCGTCGTTCTCGTCGCAATGTCCCCCGCGGTGCGCCTGCTTCGGCGAGACCGTGGACTGCGCCAGGCGAGGGCTGACCAGCATGCCGAGGGGTGTCCCGCCAGAGACCCAGAGACTGTGAGTACCATGACTGTCTTATTATGTGGTCTGTCGATGTCTCTGCATGAGGGCTCAAGTCTTAACCTTACAGTGGTCGTGTGGATAACATATGTAATCCATGCATACGAAAATGGATTGAAACCGGCCGAAAAGGCGTCAGTTTTTACGCGCGAGCGCTGTAGGGTTAAAAGCCTAAAGTGGAGATTAGTTCAGGCCTTGTTAAATTGGTCATTCTGATGCACTTAGAGTAAAGTATTGAAAAAAAAGCTATTTAAACTTTTTTTCTGATGCTGAAAGATATTAAAAACGGATGAGGATCCAATTCGTACAGCAACGGCCGATAACGCATACTAATTCCACACTCTTTTTAAAGAAATTAATTTTTTAGCATAGTGCAATTTATAAGTACCTAGTCTTTTTTAAAGCAATTCTATATTATCATATTTCAGAGTCCCCTGTAGTCAAGTATCCATACCCTGAATTTGATTTTCTTTGTAAATGAATTCTTTTAGTTTCTCTATGCAGGTTATATTGAGTTGAGGATGCATGCAATATTGTCAATTATGTGTCTTGGGTATCGGCTCGTTGGTCTAGGGGTATGATTCTCGCTTAGGGTGCGAGAGGTCCCGGGTTCAAATCCCGGACGAGCCCGAAGTTTGTTTTTATTAAAAAATTTGTATCAATTACAATATATGTGCTTGCTTCGGTGTGCGTGTTGTCTCAAATTCAAATCGTCAGGATGATTCCATCATTTCAGGCGAAATTCTGGCCAACGTTTTCTCCTTCTGTGTACTTGCATATCCCGGAATGATGTCGGTGTTTAGTTGTTCACCTGTGAGGATCACTGTGCAAAGTTTGCATGAATATGCGTATATATTATGTATGAATAAGTCACACCATGACTCTCACATGACAATGTATTGCCTTAAATACACTACTATGTATTAGGCCACTTTGCATGTTGAATATTTAGTTGTGTTACAATAACCGGTCATCTATGCAACCACTCGATATTAGTTTTAGTTGTCACACTTATTATGACATTGCGTAACCACTCGATATTAGTTGTCACACTCATTGTGACATTGCGTAACCACTCGATATTAGTTGTCACACTCATTGTGACATTGCGTAACCACTCGACATTAGTTAATTGTTACGCTCATCGTACGCATTTGGCTTGTCAATCGCCGTTAAGATGTCGTTATTTTTACTTTGCCAGCTCAAAAGCAACCGCCGTACGCATTATTGCTGTTTCCGGGAGCAGTACGCAAAGGCTAAAACGTTATCGGTCTCTTATCACCTCAATCTTATCACCTTGCCGCAGGCGTGGTGGCTCGAGGAGGTAATTGTTCCCATGAGTCCTGAATAGTAACGCGTTTATCGCACTCTTAATACTCGATTATTGTTCAAATTGATTACTAAAGAGTTGTTTTTATTTACCATTCATAATTAACATTATATTGGTTTCTGTTCACGGCGTTCGGTATAAAGCTGTAAATCAATTAAAGTCATCACGAGAGAACTTCGTCGTACGTACGTACGTATGAGAACCGTAAGCCTCTTAATTTGTTTGTTTATTCGACGTTGTTCCTTTTTCGTCTTCAGGAAGTATGATGTAATGATGCATGAGTACATCAAGTGAAAGTTAGTGTTTTGTTAAAAGCGTAAATTGTGAGCTTTATTTATTATTATCGTTGTTTGTGTTTTTCTATTGATACTGCTTTTTTCTTGCTGATTATTTTATTTGTAATTTGATTTACGCGTATATGAAATTCGGTCGGAGTTATTTTTATTCCTTGAGAAACTATTATTGTTCCATGCGTGAAAAGACCACAGAAACATACTAAACGGAATTGATGAGTCAAATATATTTAAATATATCAACAAGTCAAATAATACGAGTCAAATATATATATTTGACTCATATATATATGAGTCAAATATATTCCTGTAGTATTACTTAGTGAAATATTCAAATTGATCGCAGTTTAGCAGCCACCTTGTACAACCTACCCTTTCGATCAATTCACGAGGCCTTGCATCTGCACCTCCATTACCCATTGTTCATTCGCTGGCATACAATTTGTTTTAAATTTATTCGGCTTAGGAAATCGTTGAGCCTTGACATTTGCTCACTAATATGAAATGTTTTCTCCTTCGATGCGGGTAAGAAACGTCTTTCTATGCTCGAGAAATAATATTACGTGTTTATGAACTCGGCTTGCATGAGTCGAAGTCTCATTATAGATGGTCATATAACACCTGCCGGCCCGCAAACCGTTTATTATGTCTAAATTGTCAATGTTATTAATATTATTTTATTTGGCTTATAGTCTTTGCAAAAATTAAAAATGAAACCGTCTTCATGCATGGATGTACAGTACGTGTAAGTATTGCTAACTTGAGTAAAGAGTCTTAATGAAAGTATTTGTAACAAACCCACCATCATGAATTTATTTACATGCATTTCGAACAGTGCTTCTACTATAAGGCATATATTGTGGTTATTCCTAATATTATTACAATTTCTTCACGTCAACTAATTTTCAATAAAATTAGACGCATTGCCGACCGTAATTGATCTATGTTCTTCGATATTATCATGTCGGCCTGATATTATTTCGTTTATATTAAAAACAATAAGATAATTTTTACATTATCTAGGTACGCGCTTTTACATTATCTAGGTACCGCTGGTACGCGCTGAGCTCGTGAAAGTTCCCAGTGAAAATTTACAGACGCGGCAGCTTCTGATTTGGATTACCAGAAGCTGGGGCGACTCTAAATTTTGTTAGGGTCCCAGTGAAAATTTACAGACGCGGCAGCTTCTGATTTGGATTACCAGAAGCTGGGGCGACTGTAAATTTTGCTGAGGCTTATTTATCTACAGATACTATCGAGCCAAACCTTTTTTAAAAGGCATTTTCATTCTAATAAATGGCATTGTTATTGAATAAAGAAGGTTTTCATGCACTGTATGCGACTGCTGCCCACAACCCATAGGCTCAGGTATATAGGATGCAACTGCTGCACACAACCTATAGGCTCAGGTATATAGGATGCAGCTGCTGCACACAACCCATAGGCTCAGGTATATAGGATGCAGCTGCTGCACACAACCCATAGGCTCAGGTATATAGGATGCAGCTGCTGCACACAACCCATAGGCTCAGGTATATAGGATGCAGCTGCTGCACACAACCCATAGGCTCAGGTATATAGGATGCAGCTGCTGCACACAACCCATAGGCTCAGGTATATAGGATGCAGCTGCTGCACACAGCCAATATAGGCTCAGGTAGGATGCAGCACCTGCTCAGCGGAGCACAGCGGGGTCGACATGGCTCGTGGTATCGAGCAGCAGCAAAGGTCAGTGTGCCGTGTGAGTGAGCTGAGCCTGCCGAGCTGTAATGAATGCGTGTCATGCTGCCGTCTCTCCAATGCCTTCTCCCTGCTATATACCTTCACTTTCATACTGCTCCTCATTCTGTTCATTAAAGTTATTCGTTTTTATCATTCTGTTACGCTACTCCTTTTTCGCGCATTTTCTCATTTGTGGAAATAAAGGCGCTATTGTGCTCGTCATGTCCGTCTGTCCGTCCGTGATTTCAAGTTTTCGTCGACGAGAAAATGCGCTCATTGTCACTCACTGCAGTGAGTACTGAGTTATATTTTTTTTATTCCTGCGTTCCCATCCTTGATGCTTGTATATGTCGTCAGAATTATGCGGAACGCAGCTTGCCTGCTGTCGCATTCGTCCCAATTATCTCAGTAAAAATATATTGTTATTTTGTGCGTAGAAATTACGTTGTTGACTTGACGTGAGTCAAGTACGTAAGCTACCTTTCAGGGCATTGAGCCGGCAACAACAACTGCGTAAAAGTACACAGCGTGCCGTCCTGTGGGAATCAAATGACTTGCGCGGTTGGAATATATAGGTGCTTAATTGTGCCGTGGCGAACAATTTGACGTTAGTAAATGAAGTTTTTCAACTATTATGTCGCTTAACTATTACGTTGCTCTATGTGCACTTGAATCTTCTGACGGTAAGATTGAATAGTATTGAAAATGCATATATTATAAGGGTTTAGTCATTTTCTGCTAGCTAGATTCACAGATTTGACAGAAGAGCATTACGTGTCACTCAGAGATGAGCCGAGAGTTAATGTCATGCTAAAGAAAACATATGAGACTCTGTTTGCGTTTGGACATTCAGTCATAGTACGACAACCACAACAAGATGTCCTCGAATTATTTTTCCACGTTGAGTGCTGGCATCGATGACCTCGATGTTGTATGAATATTTGAGCCATGGGATGAATATTTGAGCCATGGGGATGACTTGGGTCTACGGACGACGCTTCTGCATACGAAATAAGTTAGTGCTTATGCGTCGCAAAATATTATGATTTTCAATATTTTACGAAAAGAGAACTGAGCACGGTATACATTAACTGAATATTTATATGAATTAAGAATCCCTAACATGATTGAAAAATGTTCTAAATTATTTGTTTTTTTATCAATGATCAGGCGTACGATTACAATATTCTAATCCTGATGATAGTAAACACCTAAGACTTAAATTCAAAATTCAATTTGAAAGACTTGAAATTCGATAGAAGAAACCCCAAAACTTATCCCATTAGAAATATTTATTGAGTGGTTTATCGCTAGTCGAATGTCTCCATTTAAATTGACCATAAATTTTTTGTCCATGGTTCCATGCTATTGATCGACCACCTAAGATTCACCTGAGTGGCAAAAATTTACCCGACCTAATATTATATCACTATTATTATTATTTCCTGACCTAATATTAGTATTAATTACCTTCGTGTTTGTTCATGTATGGCCTGGTGGTCACCGCCATGCATGCATGACCTCCGAATTTTACAATTAAGGTGGACCTGTCTGATGAACAGAATTCATGCATTTTCCTTCACTCATGCCATGCAGTTGAAATAACTCAGCCTTGGAAAATAAGAAACGTGTGGATTTTATCAAACTTGGCA